GGGAAAGAAGGCTGTCAGAAACTCAAAGTTCACCTGCACACAATTTACTCATCTAGCAAATCATCACATGTACCCCACACATTTACTGTCCAGTCATATCATCTCTAACTAAAGGTTAACTTTTACTTTAATAATAAAACTTTTGAAACATACTTACCATAAAAACTATCCAGAGATAAATTATCAACAAGTCAAAACAGGCAAATGCCAAGGAAAATCAATGCATTAAAAAACAAAGAACAACAAAAATTTATGGAAAAGTTTCCTCTCCTAGCCACTAAAAATACATTTAAAAATTTCTGTTTTAACTATTGCATTCGGATTCTCATATATATCAACTTTTATGTAAATGCAAGAAAAATGAATGTGGTTCAGGGTTTTTTAAGCATAAATTTACTGTTGAGCAATATGTATTGTAATAACACAAGGTTTATTAATATATTAAATAAGGAGCATTATTTAGAAAAAAATTATGAGGCTTTCCTGGAGTTATTTTTAGAATAAAATAACATAAAGTATTAACAGTTTAAAAACATTAAATTTATATTACAAACCAGACTACAGAAGAGTTAATGAAATCATGTCATAGGATATGCTTCCCACTCACTAGAAATATGTGAAAATACTTTAAAAGAGCATTTGTTAATTACTCGAAAGGGAGAAAAGAAAATCTTCTAGTCTCCGAACAAAAGCAAGGACTTGAAATGTAGATTATTGGGGACAGTCAACTTTTCAGAGGTTGAAATGATTTTGAGTTCTGGACATAGAATGTGGGAGCCGGGGCTGGATTTTTTTTAGCCCCATATGAGAACAACAGAGCTAGACCTGAACCATTTGTATAAAGCCTAATCCTTTCCAGAACTAGAGAAATTGTTCTACATTAGAAAAGCCTTGAGAATTTTTTGCCTCTCCAGGGGTGGAGAAATAATTTTTTAAAAGGGATATGGTATATGATGTAAGAATGACAACTTAAAACAACAAATTAATATTAACATTTCTGGAACAATTCAAACTTCAAGAACATTGCATTGATCTCTTATAGGCTATTATTTAAATCAGTGAAGCTTTTTTGAAAAGCAATTAATTATAGTGATAGCTATAAAAAAGACTAGCCCTAAAAAAGACAATAGCCCTAAAAAAGACTCAAATCCATCAATACATTTTTATACCCAATAATGCATATGCAGTTATCTTTTTCATAGGAGTCTGTCTTATATAAGTACTTCCAATTTTGTATAAGCTAAATGTAGCTTTGTTCAAATATAAAATGATCAGAACACTCTACAATAATTTTAAAATAATGGAATTGACAAGTAAATTAGGGTATATTGCTTTCAATGTATTTTGTAGGTATTAGTAATGACTGAAAATCAGACAGCAAAATAGAAAAAAATTTGATGTAATAGTATAAAATGGAAGAGGAAATGTCATGCATATATTATGACTGCAAGTATGTAAAATGTTTTAACTTCTTAGAAATTTTTATTTTAAAGATGTGGGGTACAATTCAGGGTTAGGTTTACAAATGTTCATTATGCAGGTACCCTTGTTGATAAGGTGTGCTCCCCTACCCCGCACCCGGCTATTTCCAACTACTTCTAATCCCTTTCTTATAGTATAGTATTATGATAATTTTTCAAGGTCTGCTTATGAGTGAAAACATATAGTACTCAGTTCTTTGTTTCTGTGATAGCTCACTCAGTATTATAGATTCTATAGTCCATCCAAGTGACTGTAATTTTGTCCTTCTTTATGGCTGCATAATATTTCATCATGTATATGTACCACATTTTTTGAGTCCAGTCCTCTTTTGATGGCAGCACGGTTGGTTCCAGGTTTTTGCTATTGTGAATAATGCTGCAATAAACATGCGTATGCAGGTTTCTTTTTCATAGAGTGATTTGAGTTCTTCCAGACATATACCCAGTAGGGGCATTGCGGAGTTTTATGGAAGGTCGACTTTTAGGACTTTAGGAATTGCCAAACTGTTTTCCACAGAGGTTGTACTAGTTTACACTCCTGCCAACAGTGTAGAAGTGCTCTCTTTTCCCTGCATGCTCTCTAGCATCTGTTTTTTTGAGTTATTCATGATGGCTATCCTGACTGGAGTTAGGTTGTATCTTGGTGTGCTTTTTTTTTTTTTTTAAAGGAAATGCAACAAAATATCGAAGAGCTCATATACAAAGAAAGATAAATTGTTTTTTGTTTGTTTTTCTATGTTTTCTAAATATCTTATAATTCTTTTTTAAACTCAAAGATTCCCATTTACCTATCATATTCAATCAAATGTTAGTTTGTGTTTTGAGAACCAAAACATCTAGTTTCTCAAGACTTCTTGGAACATACCTAATAAGCATGATCAGTGTTTTTACCCTTGCTAACTCATGACAATCTTCAGGTCTTTGATAATGGAATTTTTTTGTGTGTGTGTGTGTCTAACCTTCATGCTGTCTGTGCATCTAGATGCTTATTGGATTAGGACTTTGTTTAGATAGATACATTTCCTAATGCACCATATTCCATTGGGAAGTTCTCATACTTAGAATTTCACTAGTTCTTCCATATGTAGAGAATGGCATAGAAACCCTAATTGTTTCTTTTCAGTTGATCCCCAAACTGAATGTGTTGATTTGTCAACTAAATAATGTGGTGCTTTAAAGTAGAGAGCATGCCCACTATGTGTTTTACACCTTCATGTGGTTAGGAGATTTTGCATGGAAAAAAAAAGTGCTCAGAAATGTGTTTCCATGTGAAATTTGCAGACTGGAATCTCAGGACATATTGCATATCATTGCTTGAAAAAGAACTAAAGGAAGTGTTTGCCTATGAATATTGTCTATGGGATTATTATCTCTAGTTTGGTGTAATGAACACTGTGTACACAACTATTTTAATCCAAATTGATGTCTATGGAGACCCAAGACTTCTCTGACTGTAAGTTCTATTTCAAAGTAGAATAAAAACAGTTTGCAACAGTGTCACTTTCACACTGGTAGAAATATGTTCAAATCCACAATAGATTAGTCCTATATATACCTCATGCTTTTACTGGATTAAATATTCATTTCATAGCTATATTAATTTTCAGTGCCTTCCTTCACTCTAGGTTCTTTTGCTTTCTCATGCTTTAGTTCTAGGTCTGTCAATTTTTGTCTTCAGCTAAATAAATATTTAATCTAGTATTTATTCATATGCCATATTCTGCTGGTCAGATTATCTTCAATGAGCACCAAAGTTCTTTACATTCTCATCAACTATAGAATAGGTAAGATTATCTTTCATTTTATATATTTGTCAATGACGTGAATAATTATTGCTTTAATTATTTTGGCTGAATGAAGAAATAGAAAATGGCTAACCACATTCAAGATTGTCTTTCACTGAAACAGTGTACCTTTTAAATTTACTATATTCTTATCTTGAAGATCTACTAAGCTCTTTTTATTTATTGTTTCTTGGTGCACCTAATAAACCACAAAAATTCTAGTCATTGCTCAGTTTACTGTAATTCAAAGCATTGCCTTGATTTCTCTTCATGTCTTTTCTAATCAGTATTGCTAAGGAAAATGAGCCCTATCTAGAAACGTTGTCTATTTTAGCTATATTTAAAAGACCTATAGAACTAATTACTTAGACTGAAGTCAAAGCACATTTCCCCTGTGGAGTAATTATATGACTTTCCATCCAATGGCATGGAAAAATAGCAATATAATCTCAAATGCATAGAATTGCATACTAAACAATATTCACATACTGCTCTAGAGTTAACTGTAAATTCTCACTAGTGTTCATTAGAGTTACATAGCAAAGTTTCTAAACTACTTAACGAACCTGACCTTTAAGTCTTCTTCTTACTGATGTCTATAGTTGAACTATTTGCTGTTGCCTTGGATGGTCTCTCCTTATTCTTCATATTTGAGTAGACCAAATTTTACCAATACTTATTTCTGAAAATCATACAGGTTTTAGCTATTGTGTTATGAGGATGAACCAAGGACTATGGGATTATATTTTTAGTTAAGTCTACAGAGTTTTTCTCTTTTCACTCACAGAAATACTGCCTAACCTTCAGCAAATTACTTTCACCCCAGGTACATCCACTCTGAACCTACAATTGCCTATGTAACAAAGAAATTGCTGAACTTTATTTAATTTGTTGAAATTGATAAAAAAAAGTTTTAGTCCCTAAATGAAGGTTATTGTGCATCTGTAAAGTATTATCATTTGAACATGTCACTTTAAAATGATGTTCAAATACATGAATTGCTTTGAAAATTCTGTCAATTTACTTTTCTATGACTCTCTTAGAAAACCACTATTCATGCAATTATTATAACCAGCATTTATTAAACACCAATAATATATTAAGTGCTGTGTTAGGCCTAAGCGAACACAATGAAAACCTGCTTCTGAGGAACCTGGAGTCTGGAGGGACAGAGAGGCATGTAAATAGCTCATATATGAGATGTCGTACAATCTAATATAGGAATAAAAGGTGGTGGAGTGTTCAGCCTGGAGCAAAGGCAAATTGAGGGTAGAAAAAGAAATTGTTTCCTTGGAGGGAGTAGTCAGGGCCGGCAGAAGAAGCAGATCCCCTGACTGCATGGAAAAAACAAAGAGCAAGTGATACATTTGTGAAACCTTCAGTCACTGGATGTAGTTCACCTACAGGTGCTTATGAAGAGTCACAGAAAAAGAGACTGGAAAACCAAGTTGGAACCCCAAACAAAGGATCTTCAATGCCCCAGGAATTTGGACTTGTATAATAAATAATGGACAGGCTTTGAGTGATTAAAAGATATTTCAAAATTAGAATCTATATAACTTGTGAAACAGTTGAAGGTGGCACTGTGAGAGAGGCAGTTGTAGAAGTCTACCTTAGGCAACTGATAAAATCATTAACCTTTTTAATAGTGTGAAATCGATATGACAAAAAAGAAGAGTTCAGATTCGATGAAAATATTGACTAAATACCGCTTCTGTTTTGTGTTTTTTCTTAGTGGGAGAGATTTCTGAGATTTGCCCAGAAGCCACTGATTTTTTGTGTCAGGACAAGAAGTGTATTGCATCCCACCTTGTCTGTGACTATAAAGCAGACTGCTCTGACAAGTCTGATGAAGCTGACTGCAGTAAGTACATCTGTCTGCTGTAAGGCAGCCAATTCAACACAGATTTTCACTATTTATGAGTAGAGTTACATATTTGCATAGACAGCTGAGAAGAAATGTTCTTTTCGTGCACAAGAGTAGATTTAGAATAGCCAAAACAGTTTATCCAACTTTTCTATACTAATATCAAGTATGAATACAAATGGAAGCTCTCTCATACTTTTTACACCCAGACTAAGAACTGTAGCAAGTCTATAGCAAATCATCTTACAAAAAGTATCCCATTATGTAATCAAGAAGTGTGAGATCAGAATTAAAATTTCCAGGAACTTCCCTGGCAGTATCCCTTTAATTATTGCTTTTCTTTTTTTTCCATTCTTTTTTCTTAAAAAGAGTTTATTTTCTAGATGAGACTGAAAATGAGTGGTTTTACTAAATATGAGTTTAATAATTAATTTTATCCATTACATTGCATTGGAGTAAGAGAACCAAATGAGACCTATTGGTTTTTTATTTGTGCTTTAATGTGTGATGTTTTTAAAAGTTATATTTAAAACCAAGTATATAATTTTAAATATGAGCATATATTTAAATCCAAATAAATTGTTTTTTTCATCTAGAGAGTTCGTAAAGAACCTTGATACCGTGCTGGTTACCTGTTATAGTTACTGTTTGCTGCATAACAAGCTACCCCAAAAGTTATAGCCTAAACAAGTTTCATTTTTGCTCACACTATTGTAGGCCCATAATTCAAGAAGAGCTCTGACTAGAAATGGTAGGTGGGATTGAACAGTCACCTGCAAGATGACTTCTTCGCTTTCGAGTCTGGCATTCTGATAATCTTTGATCTCTCCATCTTATCGGACATAACATCTCATCCTCCAGGGTATTGCATCCCACCTTGTCTGTGTTTGTGACTTGGGTTTTACATAACATGGCAAACACAGGGTGAGTCATTGTACATGGGTCTGGCTTCTACCAGAATTAGTGTTCCAAGGACCCCAGGAAAGAGAGCAAGAGTCCTTTTGACATCCCAGAATGTTGTACTGGGTTCCTTCTGATGGCCAGGAAAATAGTAAAATCTAACCTAGATTCAAAGAGGAAAGGGAAATGGACTAATGGGAAAACATCACACATCACAGAGAGTGAATTAGGGGTGACCGTCTGGAGACAAGCAAACAAACAAGTATATTTAAATTGTTAATGTTTGGTTTAGTATAATTTTTATTTATTAGCATCTTATAGTGAAGATGCTTCCGAAGCACTCATTTTCTGTTATTCTAAGTGTATTTTTCAAACTATTGAAAATTGTGGTAAAATTTATCATTTTAACCATTTTCAAGTGTATAGTTCAATAGCGTTGAGTACATTTGCAATATTTTACAACCATTGCCACCATCCATCTCTAGAGCTATTTTTATCTTGCAAAATTGAAACCACTCCATTAAACAATAGCATTCCATTCCCGCTTTCTCCCAGATACCAATAACCACCATTCTATTTTCTGCCTCTATGAGTTTGACTATTCTAGATACCTCAAGTAAGGGGAGTAATATAGTATTTGTCTTTTTGTGACTGTCTTATTTTGCTTAGTATAATGTCTTCAAGGTTCATCCTATACTTTATGTTTTTAGATTAGAAAATATAGTTTATTTAAAAGTAAATTAGAAGGAGAGAGAGAGAGAGAAGTTTCACCTCTCCAAGGTGGGGGAGGGCACCAAAGCCAGGAAGCTCAAAGAACACAAGGCCACACCAGAGTCTAGCAAAGCAATAGCCTATAGTTTAGTTTTAAATGAAAGTCAAAGGAAGCGAAAACAATTGGTGTATTTTTTTAGTCTGTACTATGAAGGCTATATATATTATTTTTCAAAGGCTATATATATTAATTTTATAAAATATTATGTATTTCCTTTATAATATATAAACTCTCAAGTAAGATTTATAATGTACAAAATAACACTTTTTATTGTTATTTCTAGTTTCTTTAAAATTTACATATATATATTTGATACTGACTATAATAAGTTAATTTCAATGGAGTTCTTAAAAAGAGGCCCTAAATCTTTTGTGAAATTATCATTTTCACTACAAGACATAACATGTAGAGTACTTAATAATCAACAACAGGCAGGGCACAGTGGCTCAAACCTGTAATCCCAGCACTTAGGAGGCCGAGGCAGGAGGATTGCTTTAGGCCAGGAGTTCAAGACCAGCCTGGGCAACATAGTGAGACCATATCTCTACAAAAATTTTTTAAAAGATAGCCAGTCATGATGGCATGCTGCCATGTAATCTCAGCTACTTGGAGCTGAGGTGGGAGGATCACCTGAGCCCAGGAGCTCAAGACTACAATGAGCTGCGATTGCACCACTGCGTTCCAGTCTGGGTGACAGAGCAAGACCCTGCCTCTAAAAAAACAATAGAATGTAGCCAAATTAATGAAAAGTCTAAAGAAAAAAACAATATTTGAACATGGTGGCATTGACATACATAATCTAGTGACCAGAAAAAAATAATTGTCACATGCACATGGAAAATCTATTACAGATATTCAATTATCTTCCTCCTATTTAAAGATGTACATATACTGAAAATATTGATGTAAACCTATTCTTCCATTTATTCATATTTCTAATATGGGCTAGGAACAACTTTCTAAGGGTTGGATATAAAGATAAAGAAATCATTGCCTTAAACTTCAAAACCTCACTTTCTACTCTTGGGGAAAAAATCTAAGGGGAAAATGTAATAAAATACAATATTACTTGTTTGTTAAAAAATGACTAATAAGTGAAATTTCTGGTTAAACTTAAAGTGTAAAAATGCTATCAATAACAAGTTTACTACAGTTTATTTGTGGGGTAAAGATGAAAAATAATGTGTGTGTCTGTGTGTGTGTATGCATGTGTACATCTGTATATGCAATATCAATATATGTTTGCAAAACATAAGGAAGAGTATTAGTCATTTTGGTTTTTAAAAGTGAATGCTACTCTTTTTCTTTTGGCTTCAATTATTTTTCCTGTCAGACTGCCTTGTATGATTTTTACTTTTCCCATAGCTACTTAAGGTACTGATGTAAAAACACACAGGGCCAGTTCTGAGTTTCAGAAACTGAAGTCAGTTACATACACTTATCTCATCAGTGTCACCTAAAACTTTGATGGATCACTGCAACTATTTGACTGTATTAAAATAAAAGCAATATGTTGACAAATGAAATAGTTACTTTTGTAAAAACCGTTTTATAAACTTGTTCACATCCAAAAAGAATGCTGCACGGTACCCATAGGAAACTTATAAATTCTGTGCTTCAGCCTGGGTGACAGAGCAAGACCCTGCCTCTAAAAAAACAATAGAATGTAATCAAATTAATGAAAAGTCTAAAGAAAAAAAATATTGACTTCATCAATATTTCCTATCAATTGCATTGGAGGCTTTAGAGTGGAATTCCTGCAGTTAGATAATCTATTGTGAATAATGGAACAAATAACAACATTTTCAAAGTGATCTTTAGAGTAGCATAAGGAAAGGAATGACTTATGGGATTATTAAACTGAAGCCTTAATTCTGACTATGACCCTTACTTGTTGGTAACTATTTAAATTCTCAGAGACTAATTTTCCTCATCTATATAGTAGATATAACATCCATCCTATAGAGTGCTGTGAGAATTGAAAGCAATAATGTAGAGAACATATTTGCTCAGTGATTTGGGCTTAATAATGTTAGCCTCTTTTATTTCATTATTTTTGTATTCTTTTGAAATTGTTCAGTCATAGTTAATGTCTCACTTACCTGTGTTTTATCATACCAGAAAAGAAATACAGCTATTCATCACGACCAAATTATTACTGCAGGTTGTAAACAAAGAAACATTTTTTGCATGTCTACCTCCTGTTGCAGAAATGCATAGTTTATAATAAATAAAAACAATGATCTTTAAAAGAAAGAAACAGTTAAATCATAAAATGTGCTCTTTATTTCATGGAAAGAAATTATTATCTAAAACACGTAATCAGTGTACATAGTGTTACACCCAGGGATGTGCAGTGTACAGGTGGGTGTTTTCTCTCCTGCTCCTTACAGCAGTGACATATTCAGTCATGGTATCCTTTTCCACTGTACCAAGATTCTTCAAAATCCTTCTCAATGCAGCATGCCAAGAAGCCATTTCACTATGAATAATATTTTTCATTTGAGAAGACACTACTTTATATTCCTATACTATGCATTATGACATGGCAAAATATGTGGATATAAGGAGTAAAAGATAATGAATTATGGAGTCATCTCTTAAAGAATACAAGTTGATCAACATATATATTGATCATACAACCATATGCCCAAATATTATACCACTGGAAAAATGCCAGTTGTTTAAAAGAGTGTTAGTGATGCTTTAAGTTCATTCAAGGGATCATGACAAAGATAACAATTTGGAAAATATTTTTTTCTAAAGTAACTGCCATTTTGGAAATCTAGTACATATTCATTATCCAGAAATATCACATCATTGATTGTTCAGCAGATACGTATTAAAGCACTTATGGTATATATAATGTGTTTTAGTAATAATTCCTGATACTCATTGTGGAAATGTTATAGTAACTCAATATTAAACAACAATCAATATGAAATACAAAATAATGAAGAAAGGAATTTCCAAATGAATGATAACAAATATGATTACTGTTAAGTACCACACACACACAGACAGACACACACACACCCTGAGAATTGAGTGGTCTGGAAAGGGAGAGATAAGTCTTCAGTTAGACAGTCAAGGACAAGTATATTTGCAAGATAGAATGGAGAAGGAAAACTGTATTAATTAAGACACTTGTAGCAGAAACGCAACTTGATCAGTTTAAACAATCTGATAGACCCTGGTAGGTGCCTGTTCATTCTGTTTTCTTCCTTAAAAATATAACTCTCATTTTATTTGTGGCAGCATCATGATCAGCTGAAAACACCATCTTCTCCAAACTTCCTCATAGTCACAAGAGGCTAAAAAGGTATATGAGGGGAGACCAAAAAAAAAACCCAGAATCGATTTATTTAAAAGTGTGTTATTTATTCTTATATATTTAAACTTCAGTCACCCAAAGTATTCTCCATTTGATGCAATGCACATTTCGAGATGCCTTTTCCACTCCTCAAAACAGTTTTGAGCTCATTAATTTTGATTCCTTTTAGCGCTTCTACGGTTTTTTTTTTCAACTCTTCCACACAGGCAAAATGTTTCCATTTGAGGACTTTTTTTCATTTGGACAAACAAAGAAAAAGTCGCTTGGGGTGAGATTGAGTGAACAGGGAGGGTGGGCACAGGGTCATGACATTTTGGGTCAAAAAATTCTGAACATTCAGCGTGGTGTGGGCAGGTGTGTTATCATGGTGGAAGAACCAGTCATCTGTTTGCCAAAAAAAAAATTCACTGAAGCAGAATACAGATTCTCACAAGAACACTAGCTGGAACACTGACAGATGGGTTTCTAGAACACTTACCTAGTTGGGAAAGCCTGCCCTCCAAAAGATAATTCTGAGTTTTTTTGGGGTCCCTGCTCATACATAGAAATTTGGTCCCTGTTCATACATAGGAATTTTAGAAAGTATCTCCTTCGTAAAGCCACTACTGAAAACAAATTTTTCAGAAAATTATCTCTTAAATATAAACTGACTCTATTCAACTTATATGTTTAGGACGACATTTCTCTCCCTCTTTTTTGAAAGTTTTTTCCTAGCAGCTAGTTACTGTTTTATCATCTATTCCTTCCTTCTTTTCTACAAGACAGAACTGCAATTTCATCTGAGTATTTACTTTCTTTCTCTTAGATATATGTCTTGAGGAGGAAAGAATCCCCTTCTCTGCTCTAAAGGCAGTTCATCTAACCAATCATGGTGTGATGCCCTCTCTTTACCTGTATTGGTTAGTTTAAGCATCCTAAACTAAATAAAAAGCCCAGAATAGAAAAAAAAACCTCATTTGTCTTTTCCCTATTTTTCCTTTTTATGTTTTGTATATATGTAATCCCTAGAAATACAGCAGTCATCTTACAAACCATGAATGAGAATAAGAATGAAAAGAAAGAAGAAAGGAAAGATTACACAATTGAACCACAGTACCAATCTTAACTGACAACTTCCTGACTTTTTGTTAATTGAGATAAATTAATTCATGTCTGGTTAAGCTACTGTAAGTTGGACTTTTAGTTGCTTGAAACCAAATGCATTCCCAGCTAATTCAGACAATAAGGAAAATATATTGTCTCAAATAGCAAGAAACCTGAAAGCAAGGCTGTTCTAGTGTTGATTAATTTAGTAGCTTAATATTGTCATCAAAATATAGAGCTGGAGGGACTCCTTCCTTCTTTAGGCTCTATTATCCTCAGATAACTTGCTTTATTGTAGAATTAGCTCTCCATGTAATCTCTTCAGTCACAAGCATCACACCTTTGCAATGATATCTTGAGTAAGAACAAATAGATTTTCTTCATTCTGGTTCTTTTTGTACAACAAAGCAAACTTTTCTTAGGAGCTTCTTCCACAGTAAGTCTTGTCTAGAACTGCATTCCAAGAGTATGCCTAAACTAACCAATATGAGGACAGAGAGGGTATCACATCATGATTGGTAAGATGAGCTGCCTTTGGAGCAGAGAAGGAGACTCTTTCCTTCTCAAGACATATATCTGAGAGAAAAAAAGTAAATACCCAGATTAAATTGCGGTTCTGTCTTAAAGAAAAGAAGGAAGGAATAGCTGATAAAACAGTAACTAACTGCTAGAGAAAACTTTCAAAAAAGAGAGAGAGAGAAACGTAGTCCTAAACATAGAAGTTGAATAGAGTTGAATAGAGTTTATATTTAAGAGATAAGTTTTTGAAAAATGTGATTTCAGTCGTGGCAGTTTTGAAGATGAGACAGATTTCACTCTAAAAATACTTTGCATCAAAGAAAGTTTATTTTATTCAAGGATAGGGATTTTGGAGAATATTTTCAAACAATGTAAAAAACTAAATATTTGAAGCCAGAGAAAATAACATAAGAGCAGTCTTAAAGATGATTAATGTGGCTTGCGTTTGTGACGCTGACAGAATGAAGGCTACATGAAGGAAAGATAAACTTTTAAAATAAACTAGGGGCTTGAACTAATGTGATGGTTATGGAACTGCAAAGAGGGGAGTGAAAAAAGCAAGTTTTCAGGGGAAGAATTGTAGATATTGGCAACAGATTGGATATGGAAATAAAGACTGTATAATCAAAGGTAACTATGAAGGATTGAGTCTTTACAAAAGGGAGAAGATTTTATGAAATTAAGTGATAATCACAGAAAGGAGAGCTTATTTGGGGAGGTGTATGACGAGTTTGTTTTAGGCGTATTGATTTCGAGGTTATGGTTGCATATTCCAAGTGGAATGTTCAGAAAGCATTTGAAGATATTTGTCTGCATTTTATCATGGTCATTGACGTGTATACTGTCTGTATAAAAATGTGAAAGACCACGGGAAAAGATGTGTGAGGCTAATATAGAGTGAGAAATGTAAGCAAGTAAATATATTTTTAAAAATCAAGATGGGCAACCTGGGTGTGTCTGCCAGTTATAAGAAAGGTATTAATAGAAAGTGTAATATTGAAGGATGTAAAAAAATTGTGTAGCTTTGAAGGGAATGAAGTGATGGAATACTAACAGCGGTCTTTTGATAAGGAGTTAAGATAATAAACAGTGATTCGCCTTGGAAAAGAGAAAAGTGGCACATTTTGGGTGAGGAGAACAAAATGTAAGGAGATTTATCCTGATTGTATAGGTATCCTTAGACTCTAAGATAAAGTCATGTGTTATGTAAGGTGAGATATGAGTGACAAGGATGGTCACAGATAATGAAAAACAATGTAGAATAAATATTGCAGGGTTTATGTGTCAGAAAGTTAGTTACACAGAAAATACAGTAGTACAGAATCTGTAGGTGATGCTATTCAAAAGAACACTTAATGGCTGTCATGTATGTACATCGGATGATCCTAGATGTTTACAGATGTGTTGGCTAAACACTGGGAGAAATGAATTTCTCCTTTTCATTCATATTGTATAATATAATGTAGACATTCTGTATCATACAACACTGGAATGACAAGCATAAAAAGGCATATATAGCTCATCAATAATCATATAAAACTCAATAGACTATATATTCATGTAGAATGAGTGAAAGAAATGTACATAGTTAAAAATGATTCTTGTTTTTCGGGATAAGATGTCATAATTCTTGAGAAGTGAAGTGCTAATATTTTATAAAAATATTCTCAGGGATTCAGAAAATTCTGTATAAAAATATTAAAGCAGTGTTTACTGTAAGTTTGACTTTCAATTTAACAGCAAGACTCTTTTCTGATTACGTTTCCATATGCTAACATTATTTTTATGTTAAGAAAAAGTTATAAATAAGAATAAATTTTAAAAATAACGCAAACTTTAGTCTTTCTCAGTAGAAAGGAAAAGTCAATGACAATCTCAGTTGATCCATACTGATTAAATCACCCAATAATTCATTCTGTCTGTACAACATAGTCAGATTTTACAGTGAGTGCTCAAAAATAATAACTGTTGTGTAAAAAAGAAGTGAAAGAAAAATGAAAGCCTAGATATCAGGGTATCATGATGGTACTTTTCACAGATGACTAGAAGTAGACACTCACCTATTATCTATTATTTTTTATCATTGTGAATAATTTAATTTTTAATGAATTATCAATCAACGCTTTTAGAAGAAAATTTCTTTCATGACTTAGTGACTAGCTCTGAAATGTTATGCTCCAGTGATTGGTATTGTATGCTGAGTGGGTTTGTGTCCTATATAATTTACTATTTCTCCCAAAGGTGCCTTTTCTTTAGTAAATGACTTTGCTTCTCTAATGGGCTGTCTATTCAAGCATCAGTGTGAGAAGAGGGACTAAATTAAACATCCAGCCAACTAAAGCTGTTTATTTATTCTACCTAAATTATCTGTATTATCATAATGTTATGCTCATTGTTCATGTGTAGACACAGTTTTATCTATCATCTATAAATATTATTACCCAATCCATATAGCTCCTTAATGGATAAATGACAATATTCATACACTGCTTCTAGATACTTTGATTAAAATGTTATGGTATATAACTGATCTTGCCAGTGAGTGCAAATGTGTGGTTCCTGTAAATATATTTATTAAAAAATTAGAATATGCAAATACCAATTTAAAATCATCCCAAATGCTCTGTAGTGTTAAGTGTGATATACATTTCTGGAAGCTTCCATTAATGTCTTTGCTTCCCTAGGACAGTATACAAGCACAACAGGAAGCTGCAATTTTGAAACAAGTTCAGGTAACTGGACTTCAGCCTGCAGTCTTACTCAAGACACAGAAGATGACTTGGACTGGGCCATTGGCAACAGAATTCCTGCAGAATCATTGATTCCAGACTCTGATCACACACCAGGTAAATCTAGTAGCCATAACCAGGTCAAGAAATCCACTCGACTGGAAGCCTACTTGAACTATTTTTGTGAATGCCAGTGTGCATTCCCTATGTCCATGTGTGGATAGAGCTCAACAGGCTTTATGAAAGGAGAGCTAGTCCCTTCTGTTGTAATCCCTGAATTGTTAAATAGACTCAGAACTGTCTTTGCTACAAGAAGGAAGCCCATGACTCATATTTTATGAGACTCACAGATGGTATTCACTCTACCCTAAATGTGTAATTAAAGTCTCCTTTCGGGGCAGGCACAACTGAGTGGCATTCAGATTAATGAATACAATAGGGAAAGTATACCACTGTCAGCACTAAGAGTTCTCCTGCTGTGGCAGTGACCAGTCAACTGACCACCCATTTCATTTCTGCCATCCTGAAGCACAGGAGCCAAGGTTTAGAAGGTTGGTGGTGAAGGAATGAGTGACCATCAGCAAGATTCTCACAAGTTTTCCTTCCTATCCTGAGACTTGATTTAATGCAATCTTTAATAAACTCAAAGTCAAAGTGAGCTTGTAATCACACTTTTACCCAGAAGTCCTGTTGACTCAGTACTTTTCCTTTCTTAGAATTCTAGCTTCTCTTAGGAATAAAAAGTACAAGAGATAGAATCTAGCCTTTCTCAGGGTCAAAAATAAATCTAAGATATTTGTGATGTTTAGTTTTTTGTGTCATCTTGGAAGGTGTTTTGCATGAGATTAACATTTAAATTTGTGAACTTTGAAGAAAGCAGATTGCCTTTCATAATGTGGCTTCGTCCAATCAGTTGAAGGCCTGAATAGAACAAAAAAATCCTAGCCTCCCCATCAAAAGGAAGTTTCCAGAACGGAATCTCTTCAGACTTCATCTGCACCATGGTTCTCACTATAGATTTTGAACTCGCAACTTCCATAATCATGTGAGCCAATTTTATAATAAATCTCCTTATATATGTATACACATCCTATGGGTTCTATTTCTCAGAAGAACCCTGACTAATACAATATTCAATCAAAATAATTGAAGCATATGCACAATGAAAAAAACCAAAATTATATGTAATTTAAATAACTTTTCAAAAGAAAAGTATACAAGGTTGGCTTAGCCATTATATGATTAGTAGAAAGAACATATTAATTTTATTATTTATATATTCCAGACAGAATGAATATATCTTTGTGTTCAATTCAGTATGGGTGGCTATTCTATTTTTAAAGTCTTTCTCTAATTCATCTGCAAATTGAATATTCTTATTCTTCTTTACTTGCCAAGTTGTATTTCTTCTTCATTTTACCATTTTTTGTTTCCCTCAAAAAACATAAAGTTAATCCAGGTTTGGTGGCTCAGCCTGTAATCCCGCGCCTTTGGGAGGCTGAAGTAAGTGAATTGCCTGAGTTCGCGGGTTCGAGACCTGCCTGGGCAGCGAGACCTCATCTCTACAATAAATCAAAAAATCAGCCGGGCTTGGTAGCGCACGCCTATAATTCTGGCTACTTGGAAGGCTGAGGCGGAAGGATCGCCGGAGCCCAGCAGGTCGAGGCTGTGGTGGCTGGGAACAGCCACAGCACTCCAGTTTGGGTGACAGAGTGAGACTCCAACTCAAAAAAAAAACAAAACAAAAACATAAAGTTAGTATGTCCTAGATTATAGGTTGAACAGGATAAAGAATCAAGAAACTAAGGTCAGTTATGAGGAGATTTTACTATAAAACAAAGATAGATATTTTGATTCAGTGGGGAAAAGATATAGTATCTAATATGGTGCTGGTACATCTGATTATCTATCTGGAAGGATATGAAATTCAACCCCAGTTTTATATCATATGCAGAAATACATTCCAGATAAAAACAAATGTAACAAATAAAAGCAATACAACTCTTGCAAGAAATAGAGAGTAAACTATGTACAATTTGGAGGCAGACTCTAACTTCCAAAACCCAGAAGCCAATTTTGAAACCCAATTTAGAAAACACTCTGACCTCATAGACGTAGACCAACATTTATATTGAAACCCAGCCTACTCCATTTGCCCCAAAGGCAAATTCTATCACTGCTGGCAGTTTCTATTTGGGGCAAGCTATAGGGAGAGACCCTGTTGCTGAGCGAACTTTTGAGTTCTGAATGTGATCAGCCCTGGCAAGGGAAGGGGAGCCAGGAGGAGCCCTCTCATCCTGATATCGCTTCTGTCCCCGTGTGAACTCTTCTGTTCAACAGACAGCTCTACCATTCCTGCAGTGCTGCCACACTGGCCAGGGACCCATTCTCCCTCTCGATTGCCACTGAGTACCAACAGGTAGAGAGCTGGAGTGCAGTCCATTAGAACCATCCAGCAAGAAAGGCTTGCTGCTGAGAGAAACTTTGAGACAGCTCAGACAAGGGTTGGGTAGGGGTACATCCTGGTAGCCTCTCCCTCCCCTTGTGAACTCTTTTGTACAACAGAGATGGCTCAGTCATTTCTGCAGCATGACCACAGCAGACAGGTGACCCATTTCCCACTGGGTAGCCATTCACATATACAGGTGGGGAGACAGAGAGTGGTCCAGTTTGACCCAGCCCTCCACAACCAGCTTTTCTCCTCACCTGCCTTGACACTCCAAGAACTGAAGAACTTTGGGAGCTCCCACAGCCCCGCTCATCTCTGAGGCCATTTACACACTTCCCTGGGGATAAAAAGTCCAAGCAAAAAAAACCCACAGCCACTACCATAGCTGACTGTCTCCTGCGGTTACAACCCTCTAGCTGAGGATCAATTGGTACAACCCATTTACAACATCTGAGACAATAACACAGATCTTAAGAGGGAGATAAGAACAACACTCACTGTACATCCCACAGACTATTCCACAGACCAAGACATTAGATAACTTCTCCAGAGGGTCCTCCAGAGATGTCGGTACCAATTCTTGGAATTCAACCCTTGCACCTTCACATCATGGGATACCTTGTAGGCACCCTCCAGCACCAGCCAAATGGTGGCAGCCTCATAGAAAAACTACATCCAGAAGAGTTGCAGGACTCACAGTGATTGGGCCCTCACAGAGCACCACCTCCAGGGGAAGAGGGAGTGTACCACAACAGTAGAACACACTGTGGGAGAAAAAAAAATTCACAAATGACCACCCCAACAGTAGCAAACTTATCTAACTAAAAATAACAAAATGACTGAGCTAGGTGGCTCAGCCTGTAGTCCCAGCACTTTGGGAGGGAGAGGTGAGTGGATTGTTTGAGCCTAAAGGTTCGAGACCAGCCTGGGAAACGTGACGAGGCCTTGTCTCTACATTAAATAAAAAATTAGCTGGGCGTGGTAGTGCGTGCCTGTAGTTCCGGCTACTTGGAAGGCTGAGGTGGAGGGAACCCAGCAGGTTGATGCTGGGGTGGCCATGAGTGTGCCACTGCACTCCAGCATGGGCGACACAGTGAGACTCCAGCCAAAACAAAACAACCAACAACAAAAAAACAAAACAAGAAATGAAAAAGAAGGTTCTGCTCTCACAGAAGAGGAAGACCCAGCAAAAACACACTGGCAATACCCAAAGCTTTAATGATTTGACACCTACAAAATGACTTCCCAGATCCCAAACAATGGAATCCATCCAAAGTTAGCTGACCATGGTAACTATGGATGGCAAAGAAGCTCAATGAAGTCCATGAAAAGGTGGACACAGAGATCACCCAAGCAATGGAAACAATGTAGGAAGTGAAAACTGAGCTGGCCATGATAAGAAAAGTCCAATCTGAACTTCTGGAAATGAAGAATTCTTTCCAGGAATTTCAAAACACAGTGGCAAACCTTAACAGCGGAATCAACCTGGCAGAGGAAAGGATCTCAGATCTTGAGGACTGAATTATTGAACTAACTCAAGCCAACAAAAACAAGGAGAAAAGGCTTAGGAAGAATGAGCAAAGTCTACAAGAGACTTGAGATTATATAAAGGGACCTGATCTGTTGGCACTCTGAAAGAGATGGGGAAACTGAAAACACCCTGAAACAAGCCTTCCAGAATGTCATAGAAGAAAAATTCCCCTATCTCCCAAGATTGAAACAGGAAGAAATCGAAACTCTAAACAGGCCAATAACAATCCAAGAAATCAACTTAGTAACAAGAAACCTCCCTGTCCCCTCTCCCCTCCAAAAAAATCCCTGGGTCAGATGGTTTCTCAGCTGAACTCCACAAGACATACAAAATAGAGCTGATATCAATCCTATTGAAAGTAGCCCAGGTAGCCGGGCTCGGTGGCTCAGCCTGTAATCCCGCGCAATTGGGAGGCTCAGGTGAGTGGATTGCCTGAGCCCGCAGGTTCGAGACCCGCCTGGGCAGCGAGACCTCATCTCTACAATAAATCAAAAAATTAGCCAGGTGTGGTAGCGCGCGCCTGTAGTTCCAACTACTTTGAAGGCTGAGGCGGAAGGATCGCCGGAGCCCAGCAGGTCGAGGCTGCGGTGGCTGGGAGCGGCCACTGCACTCCAGTCTGGGCGACAGAGTGAGACTCCAACTCAAAAGAAAAAAAAAAAAAAAAAAAAAGTAGCCCAGGCAACCAAGAATGAAGGTTTTTCTCCCTTGGTCATTCTATGAATCCCGTATCATCCTGATAACCCAAAATGGCAAAGACCCAACAAGGAAAAAAAACTACAGGCCAATTTCTCTGATGAACACAGATGTAAAAATTCTCAACAAGATTCTAGCAAATCACATCTAACAGCATATTTCAAAGATTATCTGTCATATGATTATCTATCACAATCAGGTAGGCTTCATTCCCATGATGCAAGACAGGTTCAATATATGTAAATCAATAAATGTAATCCATCACACAAACAGATGTAAAACCAAGAACCACATGATTTTCTCATTTGACACAGAGAAAGCATTTGATAAAATTCAACGTCTCTTCTTGATGAAAATCCTTAAACACCTAGGCATTGAAGGAATATTCCACAAAATAATAAGAGCCATCTGTGATAAACCTGCAGTCAACATCATACTTAATGG